ATTTGTTTGTTTAGTTTTAGAGAGAGGGGAAGGGAGGGAGAAAGAGAGGGAGAGAGATATCAATGTGTGGTTACCTCTCACACACACCCCACTTGGGACCTGCCCCACAACCCAGGCATGTACCCTGACTGGTAATGGAACTGGTGACCCTTGGTTCACAGCCTGGCACTCAATCCACTGAGCCACACCATCCAGGGCTAAGTTAGATACCTTTTTATAGCACACATTATTTTCTACTTTGTTTTAGGGTTATTTGATTTTCAGGAGGTTTTTTACTTTTATACATTTGACTTTTATAAAATCTCCACTGTCATATATTACCTATTAATATATCCAAACCATCTTCCTTGGGCTGAATTTGGACTTGAATACATCAGACAACAAAAACATTTCAAGCTATTGCCTGTCAGCCAGCCCCCCAGTTCCTACAATGAAGCCATCTTGATTGGGCAGATTTTGCAGTGATTCAAACATTTTATTATATTTTCCTTATGTTTTATAAAAATGGAAACCCCAAAAGTAAAAAGGCTAATACTACAAATTTAGACTGACTAATAACTAAACATGTCAAAAGCAGTGACTCTTGAGATAAGCATATTAGAGCAGCTGGTCAACAGGGGATTCCACTTGTAAGGAAAAAAACCAAGGTAAGAAATATGTACAGATGATTCAAAATAGATCATTGAAAAATGAGTCAATATCTCTTTACAAATAAATGTTTCCCAATTTTTCAGGTAGGTACCCAGAAGAGGGATTTCTGGGTCATATGCTAGCTCTATTCTTAATTTTTCTGAGGAACTTTCATACTGTTTAACACAGTGGCTGTACCAATTTACATTCCCACTAGCAGTGTAGGAAGTCTCCTTTTTCTTCACATCTTTAATGCTTGCTATTTCTGGTCTTGTTGATAATAGCCATTCTAACAGTATGAAGTGATATCTCATTGTGGTTCTAATTTGCATTTTCCTTAAAGCTAGAAGTTGAGCATCTTTTTATATACTTTTTGGCCATTTGTATGTCTTCTTACCCCTTGGCATTGTTTGCAAATACCTTCTTCCATTTGGTAGATTGTCTTTTTGTTTTGTGGATGGTTTCTTTTTCTGTGCAGAAGCTTTCTCGTTTGATGTAGTCCAATTCCTTTATTTTTGTTTTACTTCCCTTGCCTTTGGGGTGAAATTCATAAAATCCTTTCTGGGACCAAGATTGTTACTTTTAAAAAAACTTGATTTTAGAGAGAAAGAGGAAGGGAGGGAGAGAGGAAGAGGGGAGAGAGAGAGGGAGGGAAGAAGGGAGGCAGCGAGAGAGAGAGTGCATATTAGAGCAGCTGATCAATGGGATTCAAACTGAGAAAAAAAACAAGGTAAAAATATGTACAGATGATTCAAAATAGATTGTTAAAAATGAGTCAATATCTCTTTATAAATAAATGTTTCCCAATTTTTTCAGGTAGGTGCCCAGAAAAATTGGGTACCTATGTTACAGAACTGAGCCAAGGCGAGGTACAATATACTATTACCGAAAGGACCCCCTACCAGGTTCTCTATGCCCACTGCCAGAGGAAAGATTTCTCTCAAAGCCAAAGATTTGTGAAAAGGAAGAAAATATTTATTTAAAGCTATACAGACTTAGAGTAGTGACCCAATGTCTTCATTAAAATATTAAAGTCCTTTAGGATACCCAGAGATGCACAGTCCTTCCTTCTCCTTTTGCCCTAATCTAGTGCACAATATCACAGGAAAAGAAGTCCATGATTCAGGCTCCCAGCACCATCAGCTGTGTCACCACCACAATCTCCAGTTAATCCAAAGCCATGTGGCACCTTCTCGCCATGTGGCCCACCAGCAAGAGTCCTTTCACCCCTTTTCTTCCAGGCAGTCTCTCCTGCTTCCTAAGCCATGTGGCAAAAGGGAGCACCCCAAAGCCACGTGGTCCTCATTCTCGCCAAAGCCTGGGGGGTTCCCACTCTGCCAAAGCCACATGGTTCTCCTCCCCACCCAGCCAAAGTTGCTGAGTCTGGGTTTAAATCCCCATGCCAACCTTCCTCTGCACACAAATTGTCAACTGCTTCTACAACCAGTTACACCTGCCAGCATTCCTGTATTCTTCCAGCTTTACTGAGCTGCCATTATAAGTCTGGGCAGGTATGGTCCCCTGGAGTGAAGCCAAGTTCTCATGTAGGCACTGTAACTAGGGGGAGTTGCCTCCCAGTTCCATCTTGGATGGAAGTCACTTCCATCCCCCTCGCTCAAAGCATGGCCACAGCTATTTAACATATCTATGAAACCAGTTAAAGGTTACAGATATGTTAAATGACCATGCTAGAGGTTAGCTGCAAAGCTGTTGCTGTACTAAACAGCTCTGCATGTTCCTGCTCCATGTATCCCTTCCCTCAACTCACACCTGTGGGGGGAGGGGGAGGACATCCTATATATCTTTCTAATATTTCTTGGACATCGTGAATTCTGGACCCCATTCCAAATCTCTATTTAGGGCCTCCCCCTCTTGGCTGTACCATGTTAAACATACAGAGAGAGAGAGAGAGAGAGAGAGAGAGAGATCAATTTGTTCTCCCACTTATTTATGCATTTACTGGTTGATTCATATGTGCCCTGACTTGAAATCAAAGCCACAACTGTGGCTATTGGAACAAGGCTCTAACCAACTGAAATACCCAGCCAGTGTCCCAAGGTCTGTAATTTAGTACCTATGTTTTCTCCTGTGTATTTTATGACTTTAGGCCTTATATTTAGGTCTTTGATACATTTTTTAGTTAAGTCTTGTGTATAATATTAAATAACAATCTAGTTTCACTCTTTTGCATGTGGCTTTCTAATTTTCCCAGCACCATTTATTGAAGGCACTTTCTTTTCTCCATTATATGTACCACTATGTTTATTGCAGCATTACTCATAGTACCCAGGATATAGAAAAAACCTAAGTGTTCTTTGATGAATGATGGGATAAAGAAGATGTGCTACATGAATACAATGGAATACTACTCTGCCATAAGAAGAGCCCTGGCTGGTGTAGATCAGTGGATTGAGTGGTGGCCTACAATCTGAAGTGTCACTGGTTCTATACCCAGCTTGGGGCACATGCTTGGGTTGAGGGTCAGGTCCCCAGTTGGGGGCATGGGAGAGGCAACAGATTGATGCATCTCTTGCACATTGGTGTTTCTTGCCCTATCTTTCTCCCTCCCTTTCCCTCTCCCTAAAAAGCAAATAAGTAAAATCTGTTAAAAAGAGAGAAAAGATGAAATACTGCCATTTATGACAACATAGATGGATCTGTAGTTTGTTGTGTTAAGTGAAATAAGTCAAATGGAAAAGGATAAGAACCATATGATTTCACTCGTGGGACATGAAATAGAAAGCAACAAACGAACAAACAAAACTCACAGACACAGACAACAACATGATGAGTTACCAAAGGGAAAGGGGTGGTGGGGAGAGGTTAAAGAGGGTAATGAAGTTCAAATATACGGTGATGGAAGGAGATTAAACTTTGGGTGGTGACTACCCAATGCAATACATAGATTATGTATTATAGAATTGTACACTTGAAACTTATACTTATATGACCTTATTAATCAATGTCACCCCAATAAATGTAATTAAAAAAGAAAACTGAGTTAAAAGTTACAGTGTAATGAGAAAGGAAATGGAGAAATTTTGTCTAGATTTTGGATATATATATATATATATATAGTTTCATATATATATATAGTTTCATATATATATATATATATATATGCTTCCAGAAATAGAAACATTCACAGCTTCACAGAGCTATTGATTGGGGCACAATTTACTATATACAATTCTATCTAATGAAGGAGAAGGCTGGTGTTAGACTTCTTTTGGACAAATTTGTCAAGAGAGTTGAAAAGACACATCCAAATTAACATAAAAATTTCCTCTCAATCCTTTGAAAGTCATTATCTAACAAATCCTTCTTCCCAGCAATAAAACCAAAAATATTTGAAGAACTAATAGCCAAAATTTTTCAAAATATGTTGAAAACTGTAAAACCATTGATTTTCTCAGTTCTTAGCCTTCTGTCCTGGTTTCTCACCTTAGTTGAGCGCAGAATGTATTAAATTAATGAAGGTAATACATAAATGAACTTCATTATTTTCTAAAAAATATTTGTTGAGGTCTATAGAAGAGATAACACAGCTGTTGAACGTACAATGCTTTCAAGTATAAGGCTTACTTGTGAAGGAGCTGATGTTCCCAATAGGTTATATTGTTTCCACTAAGAGGCCTGCTATCATCCTTGCTGTCTACATAAAATGTCTTTCTAAAAATCAGTCTTCTGGTTCTGTGGTTTTCTAATTTTCAGCAAATTTTGAAAAGTTGCAGCCAATAGTTCTCCAAATTTTTTTCATTTCCTCTCTTTTTCTGGGACTTCAATTATAGGTCTATTAAGGCCCTTTGAAGTTGTCTCACAGCTCACTTCTCTTCATTTTTTCAGGCTTTTGGTGGGTTTAGTCTTGGATGGTTTCTTTTACTGGGTTTTCAGGGTCATTTATCTTTTCTTCTAAAATGTCCAATGTCCAAGGAAATCTTAAAGCAGCTTTAAAAAAATTTGGGTTCTAAAATTAGTTTATTAAAGAATCTTTTTGGCAATGGTACATTTATACAATGGAATACTATGCAGCAGAGAAAAAGAAGGAGCTCCTACCCTTTGCAACAACATGGATGTATCTGGAGAGCATTATGCTAAGTGAAATAAGCCAGGTGGTGAGGATCAAATACTATATGATCTCACCTTCAGTTGAAACATAATCAACAAAAGAAAAAAAGCAAGCAAAATATGACCAGAGACATTCAAATTAAGAATAATCTGACAGTAACCAGAGGGGTGGTGGGAGGGGAGATGGGGGGAAGGGTTTTCAGGAACAACTATAAAGGACACATGGACAAAACCAAGGCGGGGTGTGGAAGCAAGGGAGGGAGGTGGGTTTGGCTGGGGTGGGGGGGAAGTGGTGGTGGGGGTTAAATGCAGACGACTGTAATTGAACAACAATAAAATAATTAAAAAATAAAAAAAAACAAGCAAACAAAAAAAGAATGTTTTGGGGAAGGCAATCATACTTGATTTGTTATTTTAAAAAGTTCTGTTTCTTCATGTAATATAAGAATATACAAAGTTATGTTTCTTTCTACTAGACTCTCTGATAGTATAGCACAGTATAGTGATTTCTGCAATGCTAGAATAAATGAAAAGTCTCTTCTATGCTTCTCTTTAAAAAGTGATGAGACATTCACAAGGACTGGTGGAGATGGAGGCGTTGGTGGAAACATTGTGCCTCCTCGCACAAACCAAGTTTAAAGACGACAAAGTTTTAGTAACAAAGACACAGCCAAAACACAAAAAATCGAACTATACGGAAGTCTGACAATAACGAACCATTCAGCCAGACCGGTAAAAGGGGCAGAGCCAGCAGCAGAGCGGGGTCCAGCAGGAAAGATTCCCTGGACCAACCCAGGCTCGCAGGCAGCCGTTGGCAGATCCCAGGTGTGGGGTAGCAATGGGTGGACCCAGTGAGGGCACAAGGTGGCTGGCTGACCTTGGTCACACATTTGCATGCAGCTAAACCAGCAAAGGAGCGAGCAGTGAGACAGACCACGAAGGCCCCAGTGGTGGGAAGCAGCGGAGGCGACCGCTATTGCTCCCTCTCTGACCCCGCCCCCACATATAGCATCACAACCCAGCGATTGAGTTGCACTGCCCTGGCGAACACCTAGGGCTCCACTCCTTATACATAACAGGCATGAACAGACCAAAACATAGCTCAAGAACTCAAAGCCCCAGAGCCAATAACTCTAAGCAACCAAGAGATAGACAACCTATCAGATGCACAGTTCAAAACACTGGTGATCAGGATGTTTACAGAACTAGTTGATTTTAGTCACAAATTAGGGGAAAAAATGAAGGCTAAACTAATTGAAATGAAGGGAAATGCACAGGAAACCAATAGTGATGGAAAGGAAACTGGGACTCAAATCGAAGGAGTGGACCAGAAGAAAGAAAAAAAATGACCAAACAGAAAAGAATGAAGAAATAAGAATTCAGAAGAATGAGGAGAGGCTTAGGAACCTCCAGGACATCTTTAAACATTCCAACATCCAAATTATAGGGGTACCAGAAGGGGAAGAGAAAGAGCAAGTGGAAAATGTATTTGAACAAATAATAAAGGAGAACTTCCCCAATCTGAAAAAGCAATAGATTTCCAGGAAATCCAGGAAGCTCAGAGTCCCAAAGAAGGTGGACACAAGGAGGAACACACCAAGGCCCATTATCATTACATTAGCCAAGATTAAAATGAAGAAGAGAATCCTAGAAGCAGCAAGAAATAAGGGGACAGTCACCTACAAAGAGTTCCCATCAGACTGTCAGCTGATTTCTCAAAAGAGACCTTACAGGCAAGAAGGGGCTGGAAAGAAGTATTCCAAGTCATGAAAGGCAAAGACCTACAACCAAGATTCCTCTATCCAGCAAAGCTTTCATTTAGAATGGAAGGGCAGATAAAGTGCTTCTCAGATACGATCAAATTCAAGGAGTTCATCATCACTAAGCCCTTATTATATGAAATGTTAAAGGGACTTACCTAAGAAAAAGAAGATAAAAAATATGAACAGTGAAAGGACAGCAAACTCACAGTTAGTAACAACCATACCTAAAACAAAAGCAAACTAAGAGGACAGCTAGATCAGGAGCAGAACCATAGAAATGAAGATCACATGGAGGGTTAGCAACAGGGGAGTGGGAGGAGGAGAAGGGGGGAGAAGGTACAGAAAATAAGTAGCATAGACAGTAGGTAGAAAATAGACAGGGGGAGGGCCAGAATAGTGGGGGAAATATAGAATCTAAAGAACTTGAGACACATGGACATAAACTAAAGGGGGCATGTGGGGGAGGGGTGTGTAGGGTGGAGGGTAATGAAGGGGGGAATGGGACAACTGTAATGGCATAATCAATAAAATATATGAAAAAATAAAAAGTGATGAATAATAACAGAAAATGGTAGTAATGGAGCTAGAATTTTTACCATCTTGGGCTACAATTTTCACTTCGTCCACTTTAAAAAGTTCTGTCACCTTTCTGAATTCAACATCATTCAATACAAATGTCCACACATTATCGTGGAATCTGTATGTATTTAGAAAACCCCTAAAATTGCCTCTGTTCCTGACCCTCTGCGCCAATGCTGAATTTATAGCCTTATCAAACTGAAGTAGAACTTATAGGGCAAGTTGTGGGGTGATCTGTACAAGACTTGATGAACTCATCGAGGCTTTCCTGAGGACTGTTTCCCAAAGTGGGATTTCTGTGTAACTGATACACCATGATTTAGGAGGAATAAACTGTTTTTCTTATTCAGTCTTACACAGATGTCCACTTCTTATCCCACTACCTTTTCCACAGCCACAGAAATTGCAGAACTTGGCCAACAACCAAAGCAGCCTTTTTTTTAAAAAAAAAAAATGCTTTTTAAAGATGCTCAGCATCACTAGCCATCAGAAAGATGCAAAATAAAACTTTAACTAGAACCTAATCAACAAAAGAAAAAAGCAAGCAACATATAACCAGAGACATTGAAATTAAGAACAATCTGACAATAACCAGAGGGGAGGTAGGAATGGATAATGGGGGGAAAGGGAGGAAGGTTTTTCAGGAACAGCTACAAAGGAACATGGACAAAACCAAGGAGGGTTGGAATCAGGAGACTGAGGAGGAGATGGCTGGGGTTGGAGGGGGGGAAGTAGTGGGTGGGGGAAATACAGACAGCTGTACTTGAACAAGAATAAAATAAAAAATATATAAATAAAATTTCAAAGTGCTTTTATGTACAGAACAATGATAAGGATGATAGCAGACTTCTTGTTGAAAACAATGTAACCTGTTTGGAACAGAAGCTCCCTTCACAAGTAACCCTTACACTTGAAAGCATTGTACTTTCAAGAACTGTGTTATTTGTCCTATTGACCTGAGCAAATTTGTGGGAAAATGATGGGGTGATTGATCCCACCTACTGTATTTTTCATCACAGACAATGAATTTTTTATCTCTAGAAGTTCAAGTTGGGTCTTTTAAAGATACCTTTCATCTTCTTCCTTAACATACTCACATGGATATGAGAGAAACATTAAATGGTTGCCTAACGTACGAGCCCCAGCTGGGGATAGAACCCTGCAAGCTTGGTAGGTGCCCTCACCAGGGATCAAATCTGCAACCTTTTGGCGAGGAACAATGCTCCAACCAACTGAGCCACCTGGCAAGGGCCCCAATACTCTTTTTAACTGTACCACTAACCAACATTCATAGAAAATGTTTACTAAGGTAATTACAAGTACTCTTTTATATATTCAAGGAAGTATTCTTGAAAAAGCGTGCATGGTTTAGAACTGTGTAAGTCAGAAGCAATTTTCTCTCAACAAATTATAGTAAAAGACTTCATTATGCTATTTCCATTTCAGCTAGATAAATTTTTTAAAAATTTTATTTATTTATCTTTAGAAGGGAAGACAGAGAGAAATACCAATGTATGGCTGCTTCTCATGTGTGCCCTGCTGGGAACTGGCCCTTGCTGGAAACTGTACTGTAACCCAGGCATGTGCCCTAACTGGGAATCGAACCATGATCTTTTGGTTCACAGGCCCGTGCTCAATCCACTGAGCTACACCAGTCAGGGACAGCTAGGTAAATTGTTTGCTATAGAAGCAACATATGCTAACTACCCCTAAATGCACACAATCCCAAATGAGGTAAACATTATTAGAATTATGGTGCAGACTCTTTCACAATTTTCTCCAGGTCCACAGAAATAAATATAACTCATGCTTTTTTTAAATTTTAAGATTTTATTATTTATTTTTTAGAGAGAGGGGAAGGGAGGGGAAAAGAGAGGGAAAGAAACATCGATGTGAGAGAGAAACATCCATCAGTTGCCTCTCAAATGCACCCTGACTAGGACCAAATCTGCAAACCAGGTATGTGCCCTGACCAGGAATTGAACCAATGACCTTTTGTTTTGTAGGACAATGCCCAACCAGCTGAGTCACACAGGTCAGGGCTAACTCATTATTTTTAATAGTTGCATAATATGCTTGAGGGTAGATATACCACAATTTATTCAACCATGATTGTATCGATGGGCATGCAGGTTAGTACTTTTCTTTCTGGAGGATAGACTTCAAACAGCTCTGTCAAAAGGTAAGTATAGATACTGGTTGCCTAATCAACTGGTTTTCTCCCCCTTCTTTCCTGCCAAGAGAATGCTAATTTTGCACAGGTATTAGGCAGAGAACCCTGATATCAAGGAAGGTGGTTCCACTTCCTAGTTTCTATGTGACATGTGATCTAGTTATAGCAAAAGAGATACATTGGCAAGTTTGGTGGTGGATGTCTGGAAAAAATTACTTTCCCTGAAAAAAGGAGAGTGGCACCTCTCTTGCTTCCCTGGCCACTGCCATTTCCTTTTTCAGCTCTGAAATGCAGATGTGATATCTAGATTCAGCAGCCCATCTTACAAGCTGAGGTAAGTAAAAAAAGCCTAAAGATCAAAATGCCAACATGTCAAGAATGCTGGAATAGAAGGATGGAAAAAGCCTAGATTCTAGAGACATTTTTGAGCAGCTGATCAAATGCTAGCATGTGTCCCTCCAGATTTGTATTATGTGAAAAAGAAAAACAAGCCCTGGTTGGTGGCTCAGTGGATTGAGCGCCAGCCTGCGAACCAAAGGGTCGTCAATTCAATTCCTAGTCAGGGCACATGCCTGGGTTGTGGGCCAGGTCCCCAGTAGGGAGTGGATGAGAGGCAACCACACATTGATGTTTATCTCCCTCTCTCTTCACCTTCCCCTCTGTGTAAAAATAAATAAATAAAATCTTTTTTTTAAGAAAGAAAAACAAATCTCTGTTTGTTAAAGCCACTATTGGTCAGATTTTCTTTCACTTGTAGCCCAAACCATTCTGAACTGATAATGTAGATTTTCAGTTTTGTTAGATTCTTCCAGATTACCGTGGGGGCAAAAAAGTTAGTAGTGAGCCACACTTCTATTGTAATGGATGAAAATGGGGAAATAAACATTTACTTGGAATTTATTTTAGTATATGGCATAAGATAGGGATTTCTACTTTATTTTAGTTGGATGACCAATTTTGAAAGCACTGTTCAGTAAAAAAACTATTTGGCACAGAACTGAATGCAAGATGTAATTGAAAATAAAAAAGAAAATAAATAAATAAATAAAACTGCCATCACCAGCTGGCTACATTGGTTGAAGTGTCAGCCCATACACCAAAAGGTTCCAGGCTCAATTCCCCATCAGGGCACATACCTAGGTTGCAGGTTCAATTCTGGTTGGGGCACTTACAGGAGGCAACCACTCAATGTTTCTGTCACATCAATGTTTCTCTTTCTCTTTACCCACCTTCCTCTCTTTCTAAAAAAATTAACAAACATATTTTCAGGTGAAGATTTAAAAAATAATAAAATAAAGTGGAATCATAGACAAGAAAGAAAGATATAGCAAAGTGATTAAGAGCATGGGCTCTGAAATAAACTGCGTTCAAATATAGCTCTGCCATTCTAGTTGCTGTGTTACTCTGGGCAAGTTATTTAGCCTCTTTATGCCGTGGTGTACCAATTTGAAAAATGGTGTTAACCCTGACTGGTGTGGCTTAGTGGGTTGGGTTTCATACTGCAAACAGAAAAATGGTGTTAAAAATGGCACTTACCCCGCAGCATTCAATTAGTTTATGTAAATCACATGGTAAATATTATTTAATTATTAGTTGTTATTTTTATTATTATTATAGACCTTAGTGATAGACTCTGATTCATTTCCACTACATGAAGGATTTGTAGCAGGACTGTTTTGAAAAATTTTTATGGAATGTTGGAACAAATTCAGAGAGGTTCGTGGAAGGGAGAGTAGGAGGGAGAGGAAGGAAAGGGCGGCAGGGAAATGCAGGCTGGTTAATTATCCCAGGTGACTGCATTCTCTGATCCCCAGGGGAATATACTATGTTAGACTGTACATTTTTAAAAGAACTGACCTTCTAGAGAGAAAAGGGTTTTCTAACAACTCCAAGTCAGGCTCTGTATTCTGTCCACATTGGGACTTAGAAGAGAAGTTAAGATTCGTCACTTAGCATATTTTAGAGAAACAATGGGGACTTACACTTTTTAGGCTCTCCAAGAATTGGTTGCCCCCCCCCCATATATGACCTGGAGCACATGAGTAAAGACTGTGTCTAGGAAGAGGAGATCAGACTCCATAGTAAGGCTTGAGAAATTCCACTGTCCGATTTGAAAGATGGAGTGTTTCTAAAACACTAAACCAAAGATAGCTGCTCACTTCTGAGGTAGGAGACGCTTGTTCTTACTCAGGGGACACTCAACTTGCGCTGGGAGGAGAGAGCCTCCTGGGAGGACATTAACAGCTCCTAGTTGATCCAGGTGGAAATTTTCCCAGTGTCAAGGGTCGAATGGAAAAAAGATCACCCAGGTTTATGAGCCCTCAGAGTTACTATCTTGAGCAGAGGGAATCTGGATGGGAGGTAAATTTGTTTTGCTGAGACGCTAAAATTTTAGAGAGAGAATGTGGCTGCGATAGTATTTTGAGATATAAATGAATTGTTTTCTGTCTTTTGCTCTTTTCTCTGACCCCCACCACCACCCCCAAAGTTGTCGGCTTTGTGTTGTATCTCAGGGTAAGGAGGTGGCAAGTAAGAAAAACAAGTATACTGCCAAGACTCTCTTGCTTTTTTTGTTCCAAATGTGTAAGCCCTAGGGAAGGGGACTTAGGGTGCAGGGGCAGAGACAAAGTATCTGGACCAGAAAACTAAAAGGAAGAAAGATTTGCACAAGCCTATAAAAAGATTCTTCTCTTTCTCACACTCTTCTCCTGTGGGAGAAGAGGTAGAGAGAGCTCTGTGGGAGCTGAAGCAGCATATACTCCCAGAAGCAACTCTTGGCCAGCAGGAAGACTTGAGAGAGGAAGGGCTGTATGGAATATCTAAGTAGGTGGACCAACAGGTGACCTTGGCAATGAACTCCATGTCCTAAATGTGTCAGAGATGTTGGAGAGGACCACAGCACTTGAAAAGAACCATGTGGGCAGAAGGCTCAGCAGTAACTGGCAGAATCTAAGGATCTGCAAGCATATATACATACTCTACCCACTCATGGGCCTGAGCACTACAGAAGATCCCCAAAATATGGCATCACCTGGGATAAGGGAAATGAACATCCAGAATGAATTATATTGTTTTCCCGATACCTTGGTAAAAGCAGGGTCAGAAACCGGGTTCTAAACAGTCACAACTCTACCGATGGCTGC